TTTTTCAAGCTCGCCCGGTGTGGATATGCACTCAGAGTAACATCGCAAACATATTATTCACCTGAGTACACAACACCAACACAGAAAAATTCATATTACTAGAACACATTGGTATTGAAGGAACTAGATACTGTTCCGAAATATTACTTACTCGAACCGTCCTGACCGCGTAGCTCAGTTGGAAGAGCCTTGGGCTAGTGTTCCAAAGGTTGTAGGTTCGAATCCCACCGTGGCCGGGCATATTTTTCAAGCTCGCCCGGTGTGGATATGCACTCAGAGTAACATCGCAAACATATTATTCACCTGGGTACACAACACCAACACAGAAAAAAAAAAAATATTACAAGAACACATTGGTATTGAAGGAACTAGATACTGTTCCGAAATATCACTTACTCGAACCGTCCTGACCGCGTAGCTCAGTTGGAAGAGCATTGGGCTAGTATTCCAAAGGTCGTAGGTTCGAATCCTACCCTGGCCGGGCATATTTTTCAAGGTCGCCCGGTGTGGATATGCACTCAGAGTAACAGCGCAAACATATTATTCACCTGAGTACACAACACCAACACAGAAAAAAATCATATTACTAGAACACATTGGTATTGAAGGAACTAGATACTGTTCCGAAATATCACTTACTCGAACCGTCCTGACCGCGTAGCTCAGTTGGAAGAGCATTGGGCTAGTATTCAAAAGGTCGTAGGTTCGAATCCCACCGTGGCCGGGCATATTTTTCAAGCTCGCCCGGTGTGGATATGCACTCAGAGTAACATCGCAAACATATTAATTCACCTGAGTACACAACACCAACACAGAAAAAATTCATATTACTAGAACACATTGGTATTGAAGGAACTAGATACTGTTCCGAAATATCACTTACTCGAACCGTCCTGACCGCGTAGCTCAGTTGGAAGAGCATTGGGCTAGTATTCCAAAGGTCGTAGGTTCGAATCCCATCGTGGCCGGGCATATTTTTCAAGCTCGCCCGGTGTGGATATGCACTCAGAGTAACATAGCAAACATATTATTCACCTGAGTACACAACACCAACACAGAAAAATTCAAATCATTAGAACACATTGGTATTGAAGGAACTAGATACTGTTCCAAAATATCACTTACTCGAACCGTCCTGACCGCATAGCTCAGTTGGAAGAGCATTGGGCTAGTATTCCAAAGATCGTAGGTTCGAATCCCACCGTGGCCGGGCATATTTTCAAGCTCGCCCGGTGTGGATATGCACTCAGAGTAACATCGCAAACATATTATTCACCTGAGTACACAACACCAACACAGAAAAAATCATATTACTAGAACACATTGGTATTGAAGGAACTAGATACTGTTCCGAAATATCCCTTACTCGAACCGTCCTGACCGCGTAGCTCAGTTGGAAGAGCATTGGGCTAGTATTCCAAAGGTCGTAGGTTCGAATCCCACCGTGGCCGGGCATATTTTTCAAGCTTGCCCGGTGTGGATATGCACTCAGAGTAACATGGCAAACATATTATTGACCTGAGTACACAACACCAACACAGAGAAAAAAAAAATTCATATTACTAGAAGATATTGGTATTGAAGGAACCAGATACTGTTCCGAAATATCACTTACTCGAACCGTCCTGACTGCGTAGCTCAGTTGGAAGAGCATTGGGCTACTATTCCAAAGGTCGTAGGTTCGAATCCTACTTTGGCCGGGCATATTTTTCAAGGTCGCCCGGTGTGGATATGCACTCAGAGTAACATCGCAAACATATTATTCACCTGAGTACACAACACCAACACAGAAAAAAAATTCATATTACAAGAACACATTGGTATGGAAGGAACTAGATACGGTTCCGAAATATCACTTACTCGAACCGTCCTGACCGCGTAGCTCAGTTGGAAGAGCATTGGGCTAGTATTCCCAAGGTCGTAGGTTCGAATCCCACCGTGGCCGGGCATATTTTTCAAGCTTGCCCGGTGTGGATATGCACTCAGAGTAACATGGCAAACATATTATTCACCTGAGTACACAACACCAACACAGAGAAAAAAAAATTCATATTACTAGAAGATATTGGTATTGAAGGAACCAGATACTGTTCCGAAATATCACTTACTCGAACCGTCCTGACTGCGTAGCTCAGTTGGAAGAGCATTGGGCTAGTATTCCAAAGGTCGTAGGTTCGAATCCTACCGTGGCCGGGCATGTTTTTCAAGCTTGCCCGGTGTGGATATGCACTCAGAGTAACATCGCAAACATATTATTCCCCTGAGTACACAACACCAACACAGAAAAAAAAATTCATATTACTAGAACATATTGGTATTGAAGGAACTAGATACTGTGCCGAAATATCACTTACTCGAACCGTCCTCACCGCGTAGCTCAGTTGGAAGAGCATTGGGCTAGTATTCCAAAGGTCGTAGGTTCGAATCCTACCGTGGCCGGGCATATTTTTCAAGCTCGCCCAGTGTGGATATCCACTCAGAGTAACATCGCAAACATATTATTCACCTGAGTACACAACACCAACACAGAAAAAAAAATTCATATTACTAGAACATATTGGTATTGAAGGAACTAGATACTGTTCCGAAATATCACTTACTCGAACGGTCCTGACCGCGTAGCTCAGTTGGAAGAGCATTGGGCTAGTATTCCAAAGGTCGTAGGTTCGAATCCTACCGTGGCCGGGCATATTTTTCAAGCTCGCCCAGTGTGGATATGCACTCAGAGTAACATCGCAAACATATTATTCACCTGAGTACACAACACCAACACAGGAAAAAAAATTTATATTACTAGAACATATTGGTATTGAAGGAACTAGATACTGTTCCGAAATATCACTTACTCGAACCGTCCTCACCGCGTAGGTCAGTTGGAAGAGCATTGGGCTAGTATTCCCAAGGTCGTAGGTTCGAATCCCACCGTGGCCGGGCATATTTTTCAAGCTTGCCCGGTGTGGATATGCACTCAGAGTAACATGGCAAACATATTATTCACCTGAGTACACAACACCAACACAGAGAAAAAAAAAATTCATATTACTAGAACATATTGGTATTGAAGGAACCAGATACTGTTCCGAAATATCACTTACTCAAACCGTCCTGACCGCGTAGCTCAGTTCGAAGAGCATTGGGCTAGTATTCCAAAGGTCGTAGGTTCGAATCCCACCGTGGCCGGGCATATTTTTCAAGCTCCCCGGTGTGGATATGCACTCAGAGTAACATCGCAAACATATTATTGACCTGAGTACACAACACCAACACAGAGAAAAAAAAATTCATATTACTAGAACATATTGGTATTGAAGGAACTAGATACTGTTCCGAAATATCACTTACTCGAACCGTCCTCACCGCGTAGCTCAGTTGGAAGAGCATTGGGCTAGTATTCCAAAGGTCGTAGGTTCGAATCCCACCGTGGCCGGGCATATTTTCAAGCTCGCCCGGTGTGGATATGCACTCAGAGTAACATGGCAAACATATTATTCACCTGAGTACACAACACCAACACAGAGAAAAAAAAAATTCATATTACTAGAAGATATTGGTATTGAAGGAACCAGATACTGTTCCGAAATATCACTTACTCGAACCGTCCTGACTGCGTAGCTCAGTTGGAAGAGCATTGGGCTAGTATTCCAAAGGTCGTAGGTTCGAATCCTACCGTGGCCGGGCATATTTTCAAGCTCGCCCGGTGTGGATATGCACTCAGAGTAACAGCGCAAACATATTATTCACCTGAGTACACAACACCAACACAGAAAAAAAAAATTCATATTACTAGAACATATTGGTATTGAAGGAACTAGATACTGTTCCGAAATATCACTTACTCGAACCGTCCTGACCGCATAGCTCAGTTGGAAGAGCATTTGGCTAGTATTCCAAAGGTCGTAGGTTCGAGTCGGGCCGTGGCCGGGCATGTTTTTCAAGCTCGCCCGGTGTGGATATGCACTCAGAGTAACATCGCAAACATATTATTCACCTGAGTACACAACACCAACACAGGAAAAAAAATTCATATTACTAGAACATATTGGTATTGAAGGAACTAGATACTGTGCCGGAATATCACTTACTCGAACCGTCCTGACCGCGTAGCTCAGTTGGAAGAGCATTGGGCCAGTATTCCAAAGGTCGTAGGTTCGAATCCTACCGTGGCCGGGCATATTTTTCAAGCTCGCCCGGTGTGGATATGCACTCAGAGTAACATGGCAAACATATTATTCACCTGAGTACACAACACCAACACAGAGAAAAAAAAAATTCATATTACTAGAAGATATTGGTATTGAAGGAACCAGATACTGTTCCGAAATATCACTTACTCAAACTGTCCTGACCGCGTAGCTCAGTTGGAAGAGCATTAGGCTAGTATTCCAAAGGTCGTAGGTTCGAATCCCACCGTGGCCGGGCATATTTTTCAAGCTCGCCCGGTGTGGATATGCACTCAGAGTAACATCGCAAACATATTATTCACCTGAGTACACAACACCAACACAGAGAAAAAAAAGTTCATATTACTAGAACATATTGGTATTGAAGGAACTAGATACTGTTCCGAAATATCACTTACTCGAACCGTCCTGACCGCGTAGCTCAGTTGGAAGAGCATTGGGCCAGTATTCCAAAGGTCGTAGGTTCGAATCCTACCGTGGCCGGGCATATTTTTCAAGCTCGCCCGGTGTGGATATGCACTCAGAGTAACATGGCAAACATATTATTCACCTGAGTACACAATACCAACACAGAGAAAAAAAAAATTCATATTACTAGAAGATATTGGTATTGAAGGAACCAGATACTGTTCCGAAATATCACTTACTCGAACCGTCCTGACCGCGTAGCTCAGTTGGAAGAGCATTGGGCTAGTATTCCAAAGGTCGTAGGTTCGAATCCTACCGTGGCCGGGCATATTTTTGAAGGTCGCCTGGTGTGGATATGCACTCAGAGTAACAGCGCAAACATATTATTCACCTGAGTACACAACACCAACACAGAAAAAATTCATATTACTAGAACATATCGGTATTGAAGGAACTAGATACTGTTCCGAAATATCACTTACTCGAACCGTCCTGACCGCATAGCTCAGTTGGAAGAGCATTGGGCTAGTATTCCAAAGGTCGCAGGTTCGAGTCGGGCCGTGGCCGGGCATGTTTTTCAAGCTCGCCCGGTGTGGATATGCACTCAGAGAAACATCGCAAACATATTATTCACCTGAGTACAGAACACCAACACAGAGAAGAAAAAAATTCATATTACTAGAACATATTGGTATTGAAGGAACTAGATACTGTTCCGAAATATCACTTACTCGAACCGTCGTGACCGCATAGCTCAGTTGGAAGAGCATTGGGCTAGTATTCCAAAGGTTGTAGGTTCGAGTCGGGCCGTGGCCGGGCATGTTTTTCAAGCTCGCCCGGTGTGGATATGCACTCAGAGTAACATCGCAAACATATTATTCACCTGAGTACA